AGGAGGTGAGCTTAACCATAAGATCTCGTTCTTGGTTAGCGACGACTTGCCATTTGATATGTTGTTAGGCATGTACTACCTCAAAGTTGTTGAACCCCAGTTCGACTGGGATAAGAAGGTGCTCAAGCATAAGTTGCCCGATGGCCGAACCCTCAGATTGACTAAGTTCAGGGCCAGCAGTATTGTAGATACCTATGGCTGCTTGTGTGCATCAACGTTTTACAACTATTACAAGCAAAACGAAGAGGAGGGTATGTACCTTGTTTATGTCTCTGAGAAAGGGGAGGCCGTATAACACCCCCAGAGATAGAACGTGTCGTTGTTAAGTTCCCTGATCTGTTCGAGGAGCCCTCAAGAGTTGTTGATAGGGAAGTCGCCCACGCTATAGAAATCATTCCAGGGAGTAAGACCCCAAAGGGAAGGATCTATAGGATGGCCCCTGCCGAGTTAGATAAACTTCGGAAGCAACTAAAAGAGCTGACAGTGAAGGGATGGATTCGGCCTAGTACTTCCCCTTACGGATCACCCGTACTATTCGTACCGAAGAAGGGGGGTACTTTGAGGATGTGCATTGACTATAGGGGCCTCAATGCCATCACTGTGAAGAACCCAGAGCCTCTACCTCGCATAGGTGACCTATTGGATAGGGTGCAGGGATGCAAGTACTATACAAAGATAGACTTGAAATTCGGATATCACACGATCACGATAAGACCTGAGGACCAACACAAGACAGCTTTTCAGACTAGATATGGTATGTATGAGTTTGTAGTGATGCCTTTTGGTCTTCGTAATGAGTCGGGTACATTCCAGCATGCTATGAATCGGATCTTCCATGACCATTTAGATAAGTTTGTCGTAGTCTATCTAGACAACATTCTGCTCTTTAGTAAGTTTGCCGAGGAGCATGCACAGCATGTTGAGACAGTTCTCTCACTCCTGCGACAGCACAAGYATAAGGTCAACTTAGAGAAGTGTGAGTTTGGCCGCACTAAGATATTATACTTGGGTCATGAAGTATCCGCGGAGGGAATTAGGCCGGAAGATGCGAAGGTGGCTAGTATTCKAGAYYGGCSACGACCTCAGACAGTCACTGAGGTCAGATCATTCTTAGGAATGTGCGGCTACTATAGGAACTTTGTAAAGCATTATTCTACAGTTGCCTCTCCTTTGACTAATCTAACTCGACTTGACACACCGTGGGACTGGAGTGATGAGTGCGAGGGTGCTTTCAAGAGATTGAAGCATGCACTCATGAATCATGAGGTCCTCATGGTTCCCGATCCGCAGAAGCCATTYAKAGTAACCACTGACGCAAGCCAATACGGCATTGGCGCAGTGCTGGCTCAGCAGGATGGGAAAAAGTTGAAACCGATTGAGTACACGAGTAAGAAGATGCCATCAAAGAAGTTGGCTAAGTCCACCTACGAAGGGGAACTCTATGCTCTCTACAAGGCACTTGTCCATTGGAGACACTTCCTTTTGAGAAGGTTCTTCTATCTGAGGACTGATCATCAGACCCTCAAATGGATCAAGACTCAACCGGCTCTTTCTGATGCACTTAACCGATGGATTTAGGTCATAGACCAATATKACTTCAAGCTTGAGTACCTGAAGGGAGAGTACAACAAGGTTGCGGACGCGCTATCCCGTAGAGCAGACTACCTAGGTGCGCTAGTTTCTGACTTTGGCGTATCTAATGAAGTAACTGAATCATTGGTGGGAGCCTATAAGGAAGACCCTGTCACGATGGACATCATCCGCAAGCTTAAGGCAAAAGACAAGGCCACAGAAAGTGACTTTGTGATGGTGGATGGGCTAATCTATCTTGATAGGCCGGAGTAAAGAGATTGGTAGTTCCATCTAGTGAACAGTTGCGTAGTTTATTTTTAGGAGAATGTCATGACGCAACTGGGCACTTTGGCTACAAGAAGACGAGTGCAAACTTAGTACAGCGATTTTGGTGGCCCAGAATGTTAGATGACGCAAAGAAATATGTCGAGACCTGTCAGGTCTGTCAATGGGACAAGCCGCGAACTCAAGCACCGCTTGGGTTATTGAAGCCTTTACCCATTCCTGATGGTCCAAGATTGAGTGTTTCCATGGATTTCATGGACACCCTAGTGACCAGCAAGAGTGGTAAGAGTCACATTTTCGTCATCATTGACAGATTCACCAAGTACGCTAGACTAATACCAATGCCTGAGACAGCCAGGACAGAATACGTCATCAAGTTGTTCAAGGACAACTTGGTAAGGGACTTTGGTTTACCAAAGACCATCATTAGTGACCGAGACGTCCGCTTCACAAGCGAATTGTGGAAGAGGACTGCAGAACAGATGGGCAGTCAACTTCAAATGACTTCAGGGAATCATCCCGAAGCCAACGGACAGGCCGAACAAATGAATAGAGTTGTACAGCACTTGCTGAGGCATTACATCAAGCCCAGCCAGGATGACTGGGATGAGCAGTTACCTCTCATCGCCAACTTGTACAATAATGCTATACATAGCAGTACCAGCGTTAGTCCTAACCAGCTGCACTTAGGATGGAAGCCTAGATCAGCATTAGAATTCCTCCTACCTGAAAACCGACCCGCTGCAACTCCAGGCACACTTGAATACGGTGTGCAATATGAGAAGTTGTTGCAAGATGCTGTCGAACATACGAAGAAAGCTCAGCAAGCCATGATTGCTTCTGAGAATCAACATCGCAGACAGTCCACATTTCAGGTAGGGGAACGTGTCTGGGTCAAGGCTAGTGAGTTAGGACAGGAGTTCG